GCTTTACAACATTGCTTTATAAACTTTGCTTTACAACTTAGAGATAAACTATGTAATTACACAAATACACAGTTAAAAATTGATGTATGGCGTCTTTAAACTGTATTAGAGACCTGCTACAAATCACTTCCTTTAGTTTTATGATACTGTTCACATACTGTGGTTGATGATTTTTTTTACTCTTAGTCTTCATTTTCTGTCTTGTTGGTAGTATTTTTACTATCTGATGTTTAGGACGCAACATCTGTTTTTTTTTTCTTACATATTCAGTCTTAACCTGTTGTCTTATCAAACTCAACTGGTGCAACCATCATCAAAAGTTTTCTTTTGAAACTCTTTTCTTCAAAAACTTGACAACACAGTGTGTCTTTGGTTTTTAACCATCTTGTAGCACACAAAATTTCTACTAGTTCCAAATTAGTCTAAATAATTCCTGAAAATTCATTGATGCTTTGCCTATGGCTTTATATTCCCTCTCAGCACACTGGAACTCTGTGGTGGGGTATCCTGCTGCACAGATGTGTTGCTTTAAAGCAATGTGTCTTAAACTTTTTAAAGCTTGAGGAACACCAAACAATTAAGGAAGCTTGCCCCTTTTAAGGATGGCCATTTGAACTCTGTTCTCTCTACATATGGGGACCACATTTTCTGAACCAAAGTTAGGAACACATTACCTACACCCCCAAACTTCTTGTTTACTATGCCCCTGACTCTCAGGGTCAAGATGAGCACATGACCAGAAATAAAAGTAACCCTCTCTAAGAACTTTTCCCACCATCCTCCTACCCATAGGGGATGAGTTTGGCCCCCACCGAATCTTCTCTCCTCTGGTGCTGGTCTCTCCCCTGCAGGTGTCTGCCCATCTACTTCACCCCCAGAATCCTGTGGCACCTGCACCTTCCCTTACCCCTGCACCCTCCTGGAGCTTCCTCCTTCCCTCACTGCCCCTGCCCGCTTGTCTTGTTTCTCCCTGATGCCCATCCCCTCACCACCCTCTTCCCCAATTCCTCTCATGCGCCTCTGTGCCCTCTCACATGACTTGCTCCATCCCTACCTTCCTCATGCCCACCTCTCCTTTCAACCCTTCTCCCAGAATCTCCCCCTCCCCTTGCTTCCTCTTGCCCCAGGTGCCCTTCCCCTCTCCTCTCCCAGCATCACCCTGTCCCCCCCACTGTCCCACCCCCACTGACACCTCTCCTCCCTCCTTCTGCCCTTTTCCTCATTGTCTCCAGTTGGCCCCCTGGCATTTGTCTCTCCTCCACCCTATCCCTTGTTACCTTCCCCTTTCTTCTCCTGCCCTGCCCCCTCCCCTCAGCACAATCCCCTTCCTCTCCCACCCTCCTTCCCCTAATTCTCTCCAAGCCCCTCCCCTACTTTTTGCTTTCCAGTTTATGGGGCTGGAGTCTGTGGTCAGGCCCCAGAAGTCCCCACAGCTGCTTCCAAGGAAGGACTGCTTGCCGGGCCTGGAGCTGGGCCACCCGTGGTACTAATTTTAGTGCTGTATTCCAGTCCCCACACCAGTTTTGGCTCCCATTAGGAGGAGCGCGGGGGATGGGGGAAGAAAGCTCCCACCCTCCCAGAACTGGCTTGTGGAGCATGGCAGAACGAGCGGGTCTGTGCACTGCTGCTCCCCCAGTGGGGTGGGAAGGGGCTGAGGGAGAAAGTGCCATGCACAGAGCGCACCGGTAGAGCCCGAACGTACGCGGCTCTGCAGCGCTCCAGCCAAGCTTTGCATGGTCTCTTCCAGGACTCTGGTGACAGCTCCCAGAAACAGCTCACCGGTTCCAACCAGCACGCCTCCCCCTCTGGCAGCGATGGTGGTTGTCTGTGGATGGAGGAGGCTGGGCTGGTGGCACACGGCGGAGGCAGTCCCACAGCAGGAGGGAAGGGGCCACGCGGTGGGGGGAGTGATGTGCCAGACAGCGGTGCGTGCTGAATGGGAGCTCAGACCTCTGGACACTGTGTGTCACTGGCAGTGGCCTTGGCTGCCCACGCAAAGCACCCAGGGAGCCGCTTACATGCTGAGCTTAGGTGGGGAGTTGCTGCCGCGCAGTGCTAGCACTGGGTGTCTTTAAATCCGGGACTGTCCCGGAAAAAAAGGGATGCATGGTCACCATATCTCTGCGGCACACCTTTGACTGCCTCGTGACACACCGGTGTGCCACGGAACACAGTTTAAAAAACACTGCTTTAAAGGAATACTGTGAGTTCAGAGTGAAGCTTCATATATAAAAATATGTAATATACTGGCATATTATTTGCTTTCTTTGTTTTCTTTGAGTACTGTCATTTCAGTTGGTTTTGTTTCTTATATGTAATTTGTTTATCTTCAGCACCTAAAATGGGGCTAGGCAACTCACAGTCGCTGTATTTTGCACAAGGTGCATGCACAAAAGCACCTATAAACTAACCTATACTGAATTAATTTACATATCTTTAGGTTCCCTTGCATTAAACATTAGGTCCTGGACTCCACAAGGGTGTTATTTCAAAATTACTCCCCTTAGGTCAAATTTATTGATGGAGAATGCATACTACCAAGCCTGTTATTTCAAAATAACAGGTCACTTATTTTGAAATCTATACTCCTTTCTTCAGGGAATAATGCTAATTTTGAAATAGATATTTTGAACAGTTAGTGTGAACGCTCCGGTGCCGCTGTTTTGAAATAACTACTCCCTAGAGTAATTAAAACTAATTACACCCCAGTGCTTCCTGGGGCTCTAAGTCGAAGTAGTGCATCCACATTAAGTGAGCCTGTTTTGGACTAATTTCAAGGCTTCTCTGTGGTGGGGACTTGCTGTTTTGATTTTGTAAAATCAGGAATTACGTCAAATTTAGTTATTTTTAAATGATTTCCCAGTGTAGACGTGTGCTAGGATTATGTATTACTGTGAGAATGGATGCTTAAAGGACTGTACTGAACAATGTGAGAGACAAGCATCAACTTTTGGAACAGTAAGTGTGAAGTAGATTTCCTGGAATATAATTAGAGGGAGGTGAGCACATATACCCCACCCCAGGTTATGCAGAAACCCTATCTTTTGATGATAAGCCCTAGGAAATATGCCTTTGTCTGCTAAATGCCTATGTGGTCATTCATCACTGCTTCCTTTAATAACTATGCAAAGGGAAAGAAAAGGGCATATACTTGCATGCTAATGCTGTCTGGCTTGCTAGGGATATCACAGTATAAATAGTGAACTATTATTTAATACTGCATACAGATGTGGTCACCTCATCTCAAAAAAGAGATATTGGCATTGGAAAAGTTTCAGAAAAGGGCAACAAAAATTATTAGGGGCTTGCAACGGGTCCCACATGAAGAGAGACTAAAAAGAATTTTATCTTAGAAAAGAGAAGACTAATGGGGGGATACGATAGAGGTCTATAAAATCATGACTGGTGAGGAAAAAGTGAATAAGGAAAAGTTATTTACTTATACCCACAATATAAGAAGCAGGGATCACCAAATGAAATTAATAGACAGCAATTTAAAACAAACAAATGGAAGTTTTTCTTTACTCATTGCACTGTCTACCTCTGGAACTCCTTTGCCAGAGGATGTAGTGAAGGCTAGTACCTTAATAGGGTTCAAAAAAGAGGTAGATAGATTCATGGAGGTTAGGTCCATCACTGGCTGTTAGCTAGGAATGGTGTCACTAGCCTCTGAAAAAACTCAGTTGGAAGTCTCCATCCAAGAGAGGTGATGTTTGAGGGTCTGGGAGCCTAGAATGGATGCCCTTGAGAGAGCAGAGTTGAGTACAAGTGTAGTTGCTCTGAATTGAGACCTGGGATGACAGAGGAAGGGTGGGTCTCAGATATTAAGTTTAATGTTTATTTTTTGTTAATGATCCATTGTTGCAAAGATTTAGCTTGGTCAGGGGATGAGTAACAAGCTCTTTAGGGTGAGCAGCAAGCAATCTATGGGGCTCTGGCCCTCTGGCTAGGACAGACCACATAGCAAATGCAGGCCATCCAGAGTAAGGTGCGTAGGCTGCCACTGTAGGGTTGGGGCTGGCAGCAGGAAGTAATGGAGCCTGAGCCTACCTACCTCCAAATGGGTCCCAGAAACCTGAGAGTTCCACCAGTGGGGATCCCACTGAAACATGGTGACCTAGACTCTGGCACCACAAACAGAGTGGTGTCCCTCAGGTGCTTCCTACTACCCCTTTCACATTTACCTCACTCTCCTGGGGTTCCTCCATCTCCCCAAGTTACATAGCAAGCCACAGTCTCAGTGACTCCTCCAGGTATCGATCAGTCCCACCAGCTCCTCCAGATTCACAGCACTATAAAGCTCAGTCGTGGGTGCTGGGCTTGGCAGTGGGCCTTCTGGCCTGGCTTGTCTGGTTCTGCCCTCCAAGTGTGGACAGTGGTTTTTCTCCATCCGTTTTGGAGGGGAATCATGCCACCTGACTACAACGTTTACTTTTTTTTAATTTCAGTGATATTGTTGGGCCTTGCAAATGGGAAAAGTTTAAGGGAGGTATTTGAATGAAGCAAAAATGATTGCCATGTGTTTATGTAAAAGAACTGATTTCCTTAAACAAAGTTTATTAAAATAAGGCTTCCTTGTTAAAATAGAGCTGGGAAGTGGCCAATCTTCAGCAAAGTGAGCCAGAGAAGAAATATATTCTTCTTTTTGGGGGGAGGGGGGGTCACATTAGCACCTAGGAATACTAGTCATGGACAAGGTCCTCCATTGCACTAGGTACTGTATGAAAACAGAAAAGAAGACAGTCGTTTCCCCGAAGAACTTATGCTTGGAAGCAGGAGTTCATACATGTAAATAATCAGGTGCAATCATGTCATTTCAGTGGGCTAGGTGTGCTGTGTTCCTATTGATAATCAGTAAAATTGCACACTGAACCTGTGTCCTGAAAAACATCCCAATTCACCTGTGTTCATTTTACGATAGCTCTGATGAAGCACATTCTGCTCCATTTCAAAATAACAAATGCGACACTCTCTCAATCTGTTTTTTTCTTTCTTTACAGGGTCAACGATTGTATCTTGCGGGTGAATGAGGTTGATGTGTCAGAGGTCTCGCATAGCAAAGCAGTGGAGGCACTAAAAGAGGCTGGTTCTATTGTGCGACTGTATGTTCGTCGAAGGAGACCTATTCTGGAGACAGTTGTAGAAATCAAATTGTTCAAAGGCCCTAAAGGTAAATGGGTAAAAGAGAAGCCACATTTTGACATTTCATTATTGCTGCATGACTAAACTCTTCAGCATAGTGTAACTGGCACCCCAGCCTGATGTTTTGGACTTTGGCTGTGCTGAAGTATGTCAAACACTGAGATGAAATGCTTTTGGACTACCAC